TCAAAAATTGACAAGAAGCGTGATGAGGAACGTGAGTAGGGAGAAAAAGCAAAAAGCGCCATAGAAAACACTGAAATTTCCCTGTGAGGTCGGCGTGGTATGACGGAGAGACACAGCGCTGCGAGGAGGAGAAAAATCGAGAGAGCATGTCGCACGGAAGAGGGCGCAAACTCCACTTATGCCGCGATTGATAGAGTGGCATCGCTGCAGCGCTGGCAGCGCACAAGGCAAAGCCTTAGCTACCTTGCCGCGCCTTTGAGCAGTGTCGCGCTCCTACACTTGGGTAGAAAATTTTGCCTCCTGTTCCTCTTTCTCCCCGTACGGAAGCTAAACCTCGATGATATGAGCATGCAAAAAAGAATTGTCCACTATTGGTTCGCCAGAGGTGCTCTTCGAACCGCAGCCGAGTGGTTGACTCGATATTTTCCCATTACCCTGTTCTCGTTGACGTTTACGGTAACTGAATATTCTCAATGAAGAACTGATTAGTTGAGGAACGCGAAAGCTCCACGGGCGGAATGATTTTTCATGAGTATAGCTGTCGTGGCCTAATTTGCGAACCGAGCAAAAATTTGGGTCACTTCTTAATATCTACGGCAAAACTAATTTCTGATGAAAAAGTCAAATGAATTAGGGTCGGTGTTTTATAAACGCACAGAATCCGTAATTTAACGAAGACCTTTGTCCCATTATCAGATTCGTCAAGGATGCAAAGGTGGTCTTTTCCATGGATCGGTTGTGCTGCTTTCTGCCGGCAGTACCCACTTCCTGCTTATTTACTCTAGAACGATTCGCGGATCAGAAACTGGGGAACTCTTCCATCTTCCACTTCAGAAGCCGTTACTAATTCCCTGCCCGCTTATCACATTCGGAGGGCTTGCTTAGTTCGGCTGCGCCAAACGGCAGAAAAATGAGGAAAGAAAATGGAGCACCATGCTCCGCAGAGTGGTGTACTATCTAAAATAATATTTTTGCAGCTCTATAACAATTCTGCTCTAACCGAGTGCTCCAAAAGTGTTAGGTTGTCGGGAAAATCCGCGCATTTTTCGGTTTTTTTCCCATTTTTTCTCCTCTGTAGGACAGCAGCAATTGAAACGTATATGCCCCACTATCGCTAACATGTTGTCTTTCAGCAGCTAACGTTTCGATCCCGTTTGTTTATAAATCCTGAGCTTTTGAGGCGAGAAATACGAAAAACTCTTTCTTAGTAGATCTTTTCTCCCTTGCGTTAATCTCGCACAGTCGCAGGGTCAGCAGTTCTTGTCAGTCGTGGCCACTTGGTCTTTTCCATGGCATCTTCTGCAGTGGCTCTGAATTCAGTGAGGTCCCTCTTGAAATGGTCTAGAGTTCGATCCCCGGTGATGACTAATTTTTGCAATATAGTTTGGCGCCCCCAGATTGCCGCCAAATGGCGCCATCGTCGAGAATAGATGTCATTGTCGTGTTTTGCGGCAATTTGGAGGCGCCAACATAAATTGCAAAAATTTGTCATCACGGAGGATCGAACTTTGGACCATTTCTTCCCCGCTGTTTTGACATTCCTGGGGCGTTCAGGAGGACCATGGTTCTGTGTTCCTCACATGAGCCACTACACGCTCCATTCCTGAAAGACCCCCCCCCCTTGTTAGCGTGCTCAAACAATGTCAGCTCTTTCAGCTGACACTTAGCAATTACTCAATAGCATGTTTCACAGATAGATTTGCACATGGTTGGCATTGTCAACATCGAAGGGTATTCGTGTTCGGGAGTTATCGGCCGATTCCATGAGCAGATAACACCGAAAACCCAGATCGCGCTCGATCGTTCACAGCGAATATATCTGAACATGCGTGACGCCAGTAATGCACCCCGAAAGCAGGTAACAATATCGATTTTTTTCAAGACCAGCCTTCTAGGCCTTTAAATTTTCCGCTCAATAATGATGACCCTCGTTCGTGACAAATGGCATTGTTCTAGGACCATCCCGAGAAGATATTCATCCACTGGTCGAAATTACTCCATTGTATGCAGTCGAATGTGTGTTGTAGATGATTTTGGTCCTGCTTGTGAGAAATAACTTTGACCCGATTACTAGCCTAGATGGGCCAGTATCCAGGCTAGCACTCGCGTCAACCCAACAGAACTATCTTACCCTTGTTAAGATATAGGGCCCATTTCTTCCCTTTACCACTTCCCCTGAAATGCTTTTAAACTCAGGATGTCTTCTACTTTTTTCTGCTCAATATTTCGTCTGGATTCATGCTTATCGGCCGCTCACAACGTGCTGTACTTTGTGCTCGACATCAAAACTCCAGTCATTCATTTTCTCCATCATTTCTTCACATTCTCTGCTTTATCGTGAGACTTATATGCGCTTGAATGCATAACCTAAAGACGCTATACGGCTTGAGGTAAGCAATTTACTTTTGTTCCGAGCTAAATTCAAAAATATCATCCAAAAAAGGTAGCCAGTTTGCATAAGCAGCCTTGCTTCTTAAAGCCAGTTTGCATAAGCAGCCTTTGCTTCTTAAATGACCTGATTAGGTAGAGTTGAGGCTGGATGCGAAGCCCAATGGAAGAGGAGTGATAGTAGGCTCGATCGCGGTCGCTTCCATCGGCTTTGATGTTGCCACGATGGTTGGTGGCAACTTAATAAGGGCGAGGGTCTTTCAGGGTGTGGAGCGCTTTTCTAAAACGGTTCCTTCATGGTATAGGAGCTCGTGAGTGGGCCACAGAGCCGTGGTGTCCATTTTCTCTGAGCGGCCCCGTGAAAGCCAAAAAGTGGCAAAAAACTCACTAAGGCTCAATTCCTCATCATGGTTAAATTTTTGCATTTCAGGTTAGAGCTTCCCAGATTTACCCCAAAATAGCGCCAGCTTCCAACAATAGCTGTCACATTAATTACTAGGCTCATCAGTAACATTTACAGTTGGATTTTTACCGAAATCCGGTAAAAACCACCCGATCCAAGCTAATTTTTTCTATCCTTTTTTGGGCTTCGATCGTATAACTTCTTTCGCAAGCGGCCAATCAGGCACTGGCGATAAGCCAGGCTTTCTGAGCCCTAGCCGTTTAGTAGATAGAGCGTTAGCGCTGAAGAGGGCAGCACGGGTGAGAGCTTTATCAAAGCGCAAGATCAATGAGCAATTAAGGGTCCCATTTTTTCGGAATCTAGGCCGTATATCTTAGTTTTCTCTTCATTCCTGCCTCACTGACCATCTTTAACTCAATTTCTGACGGATTACCTTTTCATCGTAAAATACACCTCTAAGTAGTGGCGAATATTTTTGCCTGAAGTGTCTCTAAAGAGAAGTGGCGTTTTGCTAGGAGGTGCCCTAGATATATTTTTGCCTCGACTATGTCCAACGAAGCATAGAAGCGTTCTATCTGGTAAATTTCTGTCTGATGTGAATGAATTTTCTCGCCCTTTGGTTCCGAGCATTTGTTCGTTTGGCGGGATCCAACAAAATGTAACGTTTTTGGAGTGGAAAAACATAAAAGTGCAATCGGACATAGACAGAGAGGGATGGACTCCGTGAATTTTTTCATAACTACGGGTTGTTGGCCGCGCGCGGTGCGGAAAAGCATAGAACTGAGACGGAGAGACTCACCTCTGTCTTCCAACATGGCTCTCAGTGTCTCCAGGGGCAGGGGATGTAGCAAGTCATGTGCTTTCCAGAAGTAAGCAAACCAGCCCTTTTGGCGTTTCTGCTGGGGCCGTATGCTGAATGTTGGGGAGGGGATGGGGTCCCCCGACGGTCGACGGACTACTTCAACTCGGTCCTTAAAAACCGCCTCAATTTGATGCTTACCTCAGGACTAAGCCTTAAAGAGAGGACGGACCTGCGAGAGAGCGCAGGTCCGTTCCTCTCTGGCTTAGTCCTGGGGTAAGCAAACCAGCCCTTTTGGCGGAGCTGCTGGACCAGCTGCACCACTTGCGTCATTACTCTCCTACGTACCGACCGAGTTGAAGTAGTCCGTCGACCGGGGGACCCCATCCCCTCCCCAACATTCAGCATACGGTCCCCAGCAAAGCGCCAAAAGGGTGGTTTCTTATACCTCGCCAACTCTTGATAGGGGCTGCTCAAACACCTGCATCTCTAAACACTTCCCCTATTCTTGACCATGAGAGTTGAGAGTCATCGACCGGAGTAGAGACGCAGTTACGGGGACCTTCGAGTTCTTCTTGCTTCTTTGAGTAGGCTTGCTGCACCCGGCTCCAAAAGCGCTCTTCGTCCGCGCAAGCCGTGGCCACGCCTGTAAATGTGAAACGTCACGGAGCCGAGAGAATATCTTGCGTTACATGATGATGCACGCGGATGCCATGTTTCGGTCAGGTTTAGTGACGACAGCTGCCACGAAATGTCTCGACTTGAAATTCACTGGGAAGTCACTCAAGCGAGGTAAATAAGTGGTCAAGTCGCTGAAAAAGAGGAATTTTAGGAATTCAAAGTGCCTGTTGCGGCGAAGTTTTGCGAAACGATACTCTCGTCACTTGTTCATTCACAAAACCGAACGGGAGAGTTGTATCTCATAAGGTGAGTATTTGCGTGTCTGCGGTT